CCTGGCTAGCAGTGTGACGTAAAGCAAGTCAGGTCCGTACACGCAGAAGGGCGATGTTTCCTTTCCCTCCAGGCTTATGTGAAGGTTGTTAATTAACAACCATCAAGAGCTTTGAAGTCCTCTGCTGGATGCAAATGATCATTCTTTCAGCCCCTACCGTAGCCGAATGCATCACAAGGATGCTTGCGGCTGCCTCTGTACTTACTTGCTTCTGAGTCATGTGCTTCAGCATAAGAGCTTCAGAAGAGCCGCGGCAAATGGTTTGTGAAACTCACAAGCCCACAAAGCTCAAACACAAAGTCCATGTCTTGGCTCTTCTGCTGCCTTGGGGGGGTGTCAAGGCCGTTCCCCACTGGCACTTCAAGTGCAGGAGGTGGGGCCCACAAGAGACCTTAAATACCTTGCCTCTATAGCAGTGGTCACCAACCAATCAATCGGGATCTACCGGTAGATCTTGGAGCCTCTCTCAGGTGATCCTGACTGGTTTGTTCAGGAAGCTCTCAAGCGCTGGCACTTCAGCTGCCCCTCCTTCCACTGCTGCACATCTCTGGCCCTTTTCCTTGGAGCTGTTCCCCAGGAGCCTCCTGTTTGCTGGACAAGGCAGGGCAGGGATAGGATGGGTGCTGATGTCAAGGTGGTCCCTTCTCCCACCCTGTATCCTATCTCCACAGACCAGAGAGAGGGCACAACAGAAGAGCTTCAGAAGAGCTGCGGCAAATGGTTTGTGAAACTCACAAGCCCACAAAGCTCAAACACAAAGTCCATGTCTTGGCTCTTCTGCTGCCTTGGGGGGGTGTCAAGGCCGTTCCCCACTGGCACTTCAAGTGCAGGAGGTGGGGCCCACAAGAGACCTTAAATACCTTGCCTCTATAGCAGTGGTCACCAACCAATCAATCGGGATCTACCGGTAGATCTTGGAGCCTCTCTCAGGTGATCCTGACTGGTTTGTTCAGGAAGCTCTCAAGCGCTGGCACTTCAGTTGCCCTCCACCCACTGCCATGCTGCACCTGCCCTCTACTTTGGAGCTGCCCCCCGGGAGACTCCTGCTGGCTGTGCAGGGTGTGGGAGGCAGAAGGGGATGGGGCTAATATCAGGGTTTCTCTCCTCCTCCCACTTCTGTACCCTGTCTCCACACAGAGAGAAGGAAATGGAGGGAGCCTGGCAATGCAAATCTCTCTCACACTCACACACTGTGTGTGTCTGTCATTCTCCCAAACACACGCTGTCCTTCCCTCCGTCTCTCGACCCAACACGTACATGGGGGGTGGTTGTTAATTCTGTTACTGCTTGCAGACCGGGTTAGTTTTGGTTTGTGACTGGTCCGTGCATTTCATCCTTTTCATTTCTCTTACACTTACATTTAATTCTTTGGGGAGTGAGTTCTAAATTGCCCAACCTGGTGCAGCATGATAATTGTTTCTCCTGGATTTGGCTGGCACATCCCTGCAGCCCCTGATGAAAGGCAAAGCAGGGGATCTCCACATGCCGTTCTTGCCTGCAGACACCACTCCTGCAGCTCCCATTGATCAGCAATGGAAAACCGTGGCCACTAGAAGCCGCACAAGGGTATCTGGGTTTCGTGGTAGATCTTATATTGCACTTAAATTGAAAAAGTGATTTTGTGGTTAAAAAGGTTGGAGACCCCTGCTCTATAGGTTTCTGCTTAAAAAACTCCCCAAGGTTACGGATTCCCTGGCTTTGGGAGATAGGCTGCCACCATCTAAAAAACCCTCCTCCTTAGACCTAGGAAGGAGCACTTGAACTTCCAGAGGGGTACCCCAAGCTCTTTTACCACAGAGAGCTTGAAGAAAAAAGAGAAAACAAACTGCAGTCTCTGATAGGTGACTTCTCAGACTTTGGCAATCACACACAGCCCTCCTGTGCGCACTCGCACTATAATTGATAGGAACTTTTTTTTCTCTCCCCCACATTTTTTTTCTGTCATTAATTCTGGATTCCCTTATTTCCCCCTCTCCAGCTCATCTGAAGAGGTGCGTTTTGCCCACAAAAGCTCATGATACTCCATATATTTGTGTTACTCTCCAAGGTCCCACAGGACTACTTGTTTTTAAAGTTACAGACTTGAAGACTAAAGTTACAGGTTGAAATCTACTTGAGGCCGGTAAAGATCCGGTTTTTGGGTGGCTCAGTGACAGATCTCGGCTAGTAAGAGTTGTGGAAGAGATGGCCAAAGGTTGCTGCATAAGCGAGACGGGATGTTACATCTTTAATCTTGACTGTGTCCTGCAGAAACTTCTCCTGACCAAAACATCCCACCACAGTGCCGCTAGGTGGCAGAGTTAACTCTCGGATGATGGAGGACTCAGGCCCAGAAGGTTTGCATCTCAGCGCCCGCCCGTCTGAGTCATGGCACCAAATAGTGGAAGAAGTTCGAATGGCGTGAGCCCAGCGAGGCAGACGACCCTACAGGCAGTCCCCCTCCACACCCCAGTAGAGATTTCAAAAGGTCTTGACCCTCTCGTTTGGCGCCCTGGGAGTGAAGGGGGACGGCCTGTAGCCGCTGTCGCTGTCTTCAGTCGGGCATTGCCATCCGAGTCACAGCACCAGATTATGGAAGAAAATATTGTCCTCACTCTGCATTTGTAAGCAACAAGTAGCCAGAGGCAGTTTTATTACGAGCTGCAGCAAGAGAAAAACTGGTTTGGACAGGAGGGGGAAGCCCCCCCCCCTCCGAGGCAGATCTTCGAATACAAGCAATTATGAAGCAGTTTATATACGGTCTATTAAATATAATAACAATAACAATTAGTCTCCTTCCCATTACAAACACCAATGGCTAACAGTTATTTTAGTTCCACCCAGATGCTCCTTATCTCAAGGTCCCTGCCAGAGTCAGCATTCTATCCTTATCTCCGCAAGGTGGCGAGAGGCAAAGGTAACGTCTAATTACAGATCTCGCGTTGTCAGGCCACAGACTTAGCCTGACTCTTGCTCTCTTGTTAAGACCAAGATGGCTGCACACAAATTCCCTTATTCCCTTTTCCTGCCTCCACAGTGGTTATGCCGGTGCTAATGAGTTCCCATACTTAGCTTTGGATGTCAGTTGGATGTTAAATGTAAAGAAAGCTGCTTTTATAATGGCCCATCCAGCTCAGGTCTTTGTTCAAGCCTGGAGAGACAGTGTCAGATTTGCAAATGAACCTCAATTCCTCTCTCTTTCTCTCTAGTTGGCTGTCGTGTGTGTGTGTGTGTGTGTGTGTGTGTGTGTGTGTGTGTGTGTGTGTGTGTGAGAGAGAGTGAGTGAGAGAGTGAGTGAGTGAGTTCTGGCCCTGGCCTCTATCTCCAGAAGCCTGGCACACAGGGGACCATATAGGGCCTTGCCTCATTAGGCTTCTGAGTGACGCAGGGATTCTGGGCTCGAGCCCCGTGGATGCTGTGTCCCCTTGAAATTGTCACGTCACAGAAACTGACGCTCTCGTCAAGGCCCTGTCTTGCTGCCAGAGGGCTGTGAAGGAGCCTTGGCGACCGTCTCTGGGAATCGGGCTGATGGGGCCCTGCAGGCCAGTCACTGCGTGTCTGAGCAACGCCCCGGCTCGCGGCGACGAGAGGCGCTGCTGTTGTCAGGGGGATGCGGTTGTGACCTTGGCCTGGGCCGGCCTGTTTGCTCACCAAGTGCCCAGAGCTGTCACACGAGCATGATTGCAATGTACCGCTAAATGGGAGCAGGGGCTGGCTTGGCTAGCAAAGAATTGCTGCCTGCCTGGGGACCTGCACCTGTCCGTCCCCATGCACAGCAAGCTGTCATCCCAGGCCGAAAGCACTCATCACTGAAGCACTGCATTTTCAAGCCCTCAACTCCATTCCTTGCCTCCAGGTCACTCTTAATGGAGCCACTGATGTCACAAAACTAGGTGCCGGGGCAACAAAATGGCAAATACATTTTAATATTGATAAGTGCAAAGTAATGCACATTGAAAAATAATCCCAGCTACACATAATAAATGACGAGGACTAAAATAGCTGTTAACCCCTCCAGAGAGATCTTGGAGTCACTGTGGAGAGTTCCCTGAAAACATCCACTCAATGTGCCGCAGCAGTCAAAAAAGCAAACCGAATGTTAGTAACCGTTAAAAAAGGGATAGAGAATAAGGCGGGGAGTATCTCATTGCCTCTGTATAAATCCATGGTATGCCCACATCTAGAATACTGCGTGCAGATGTGGTCATCTCGTGTTAAAAAGGATACCTTAGCATTGGAAAAGGTTCAGAAAAGGTCCACAAAAGTATTAGGGGTATGGAAAAAGTGCCATATGAAGAGAGATTTAAAAAATTGGGACTTTTCATCTTAGAAAAGAGAATACTAAGGGGGGATATGATAGAGATCTATAAAATCATGCCTGGTGTGGAGAAAGTGAATAAGGAAAAGTTATTTACTTGTTCCCATAACAGAAGAATTAGAAGTCTTCAATTAAATTAATAAGTAGCACATTTAAAACAAACAAAAGGTAGTTTTTCTTCACGCAGAGCACAGTCAACCTGTGGAACTCCTTGCCAGAGGATGTGGTGAAGACCAGGACTTTAACAGGGTTCAAAAAAGAGCTAGATAAATTCATGGAGGTTATGTCCATCAATGACTGTTAGTCAAGATGGGTAGGAATGGTGTCCCTAGCCTCTGTTTGTCAGAGGCTGGGCGTGGGTGACAGGATAGATCACCTGATGGTTCCCTGTTCACTCCCTCTGGGGCATGTGGCATTGGCCACTGTCGGCAGACAGGACATTGGACTAGATGGACCTTTGGTCTGACCCGATATGGCTACTTGGATGTTCCCCTAGGACTCGGGAGACAAGTGTCTCCGCGTGAGACACTTGGTTTTCTCTCTGACCGTCCTCCTTCTGACATTTTTGCCAGTCTGTGCTGTAACCTTGTCAGCTCCCTCACATCACACCACACCACCCCAGGGCTGGCAGGGAGACTATGGCAGCCTGAGTTCCACAGTCCCGAGGGGTATCCTGGAAAAACTGCTTCCCCCCTTGTCTTAGGCTGCCCCATGGCTGGGGAAACGACTTCCCTATGGCAGGCATGCTGTCCGGGAGATGATACAGGCAAAGACACTGCGAGGTCCTGCTGACTCATGGATTTCTGAGCCGGGACCTTGTTCCTTGTCCCTGCCGGTAGGTGCCTATCTGGTTGTGTGATTAAGGCACGTGCTGGGAAACCAAGAAGTGGGGGGCAGTTTTGTGCTGGGCTCTGCCAGGCGCCAGTCAGGGCTGTACGGGGTTAGATCTGAGGCCAGGAGTGACCCAAGGCTGAGCTGCAGCGTAGCACAGGCCACAGAATTCCACCCCGTCACCCTACATGGAGTCCAGGGCTTGTGTCTGGGTAACGTGTCACTTCCAGAAAGTAGCTCTCCAGTCTGGCCCATGTGAGCCAGTGGGAATTCTGGAGAGGGCTCTGAATTCTGGGGATTCCCCAGAGTAGAGAGCGAGAACGACAACACGGCTAACCCCCCTTGGAGTCTGGAGCATAGGGCAGGGAGCTCCCACCTATCCCTCCCTTCCCCCACCTCTGGCAGCTGTCCTTGGTCTCAGGCCAGGGGCGGGGCATCGCCAGAGGCCAGAATGAGTGATGGAAGGGATGGGAGACTCCTCACACTCCCCTTTCCACTACCGTGCCTGGTCAGGAGCCAGAATCAGCCAGGCTCAACGTGCCTCAGTTTTCCCCCTCTGCAAAATGGCCCCTCTGTTCTCAGGCAGCCATGGGGCTCTTGTTGCTGCTGCTTGTAAAGTGCTTCGTGACCCCAGTAACTTGTGGTCAGAAGTGGCTGCTGCGTGGATGTGATTGGCGTCTCAGCACCTTCAGCAACAGGAACAGGAAGCAAAGCTCCGAGGAAGTGAATCTCCCCCGTTGCGAGGGCATGGGCCACTCTCAGCTCCCTCTGCTCGCCCTCCTGGCCCTGGCTTTCCGATCCCCAGGTAAGTGATGGGGCCGTTACGGCTGTGAGACGTGGCAGCCTCGTGCCATAGGGAACCTTGGAAACCACAGACTGACATTGGTGCAAATGCAGGATTGCTCTGCTGAGCTCAGTGAAGTGACTCTGGATTTACAGCAGCGTAACCACAAGCAGCGCCTGGCCAATGCGTGTTGGGCTCCCTCCTTACTCTGAGAGCTGGTTCCCTTCCACATTCGACTGCTAGGCCGAGTCCCCCACTTGGCACTGGGTTCCAGGAGGGTGAGATGTTTCTGTTCCCTGAGATGGGTGGGAGAGTGATCTGGAGGCTGTTTTGTCCCCAGAGCTGGGAGGAACAGAAATGGAGATGTCGGGCTTTGTGTTCCCAAGGGGAGGTGGAAAAAGCAGCAGAGAGGGAGGGTTTCCTAGTGGTTACAGCACTAGCTTAGGACTTGGGAATCCAGGGTGCAATTCCCGGCTCTGCCACACGCTCCCTGTGTGACTGTGGGTGAGGCACTCAGTTGCTCTGTGCCCCGGTTTCCCCACCTGCACAGTGGACACAACAGCCCTGCCTCACATGAATGATTGTGAGGTACCCGCCAAGATGCCCCGTTGATGGCTGTGCTAGAAGCACCAAGGGTCAAAGTCCCTCGTGTCAGCTCCGAGGCCAAAACTAGACCCTGCAGCTGGGGATCGGGCTGAGCACCCATTGGTTTGTTCTCTTGGCTTGTGCTGCAGCGAGTGAGGAAGTCAGTGCCAAATCCTGCCCCCCACAACTTCGGTCCCTTGGGCTCTGTTTCTCAGATCCTGGATTAGCCCAAGCACCGACTCCCCGCCGCCACGTGAATGGGATTCTAGGTGGATCAGTCTTGCTGTCTGTGGTTCCATCCCCTGGGAGAAAGGTGAGGACAGTCGAATGGAGCTTTGGTGCTGGGACGGGTGATACGATTCAGCTGGCTGAGTTCACCAGTGCGGGATTTGAGCGGCCCAATCCCAAAGATCAGTTTCAGCAGCGGCTAGAAATGCACAACGCGACCTCGCTGAGGATCAAGGCTCTGCAGCTAGACGACAGCGGCGTTTATGAGGCTCGGATTAAGACAACAGTCTCCATTGTGGAGGATCAGGCCTTTCTCCTGACGGTCTATGGTAAGTGCCTGTTAAAAATCATATTTAACTTAAGTTTTAAGTGAAATTGTCTTCCCGGGCTGTTAATGTGCTTCCCTACAGCCCAGTGTCCAGGGCACAGGGCCCTGTGGGTAAGAGCTTGTGTCTCACACACTAAAGTGTCATATGGAGGAATCAGGTCCTTTGGGTTTCAGACGGCCCCGCCTGCACAAGGCAGAGGGGGAGGCGGTGCAGGAGGAAAGTTGTAACCCAGCCCTCAGATCTGCATAACTGCCGCCCTTCGGAGTTCCTGCAGGAAATCTAGCCTGCATGGTGTGGTGCCAGGGCCAGGCTGGGGCTGTGGGCGCTAATTTCCTGTGACCCCCTTTTCCTGTGCACAGGGCCTGCTAGATCCAGAGCTAGAGTCAGAGCTCTGTAGGGTGATGGCCCTGGTCTCTGCATAGCTGGTGCCTAGCTCTGCTGTGCATAGCCCCCCTCTGTTGCAGATACTGGGTTAGGCCAGTGAGGTTAGCAGTAATCATTGCTTGGGAAGCAGCTGCAGCAAAACGCCTCCGGGCAGCTGTCTCACAAACTCCCTGCTGTGTTTGCTGGAGGATGGAGCTCACCAGGGGATTTGGATCCAGTTCCCGTGAGGTGTCCTGGGGAGACCAATACGGCAGTACACAGGCAATCCAGGAAGTTTTTGGAGAATGTTGGGGATAACTTCTTGGTACAAGTGCTAGAGGATCCGACCAGGGGCCATGCGCAGCTTGACCTTCTGCTCACAAACAGGGAGGAACTAATAGGGGAAGTAGAGGTGTGTGACAACTTCGGAAGCAGTGATCATGAGATGGTAGATTTCGGGATCCTGACCAAAGGAAGAAAAGAGAGTAGTAAAATACACTCCCTGGAGTTCAGAAGGGCAGATTTTGACTCCCTCAGAGACCTGATGGGTAGAATCCCTGGGATGCTAACATGAAGGGGAAAGGAGTCCAGGAGAGCTGGCAGTATTTTAAAGAAACCTTATTGAAGGCACAGAAAGAAACCATCCTGATGCGTAGCAAGAGAGGCAAACATGGTAGGAGACCGGATTGGCTTACAGGGGAAATCCTTGGTGAATATAAGAACAAAAAGGGAGCTTACAAAAAGTGGAAACTTGGACAAATGACCATGGAGAGCTATAAATGTATAGCTCGAGAATGCCGGGGAGTTATCAGGAAGGCTAAAGTGCAATTGGAATTGCGACTAGCAAAGGATGTGAAGGATAACAAGAAAGGTTTCTACAGGCATGTTAGCAAGAAGAAGGTGATCAGAGAGGGTGTGGGGCCCCTACTGGATGAAGGAGGTAACCTGGTGACAGATGATGTGGGGAAAGCTGAAGTACTCAATGCTTTCTTTGCCTCTGTATTCACGGACAAGGTCAGCTCCCAGACTAATGTGCTAAGTGATGCAAGATGGGATGAAGATGGATAGGCCTCGGTGGGTAAAGAACAGGTTAGGAACTATTTAGAAAAGCTAAACGTACACAAACCCATGGGTCTGGACTTAATGCATCCGAGGGTACTGAGGGAGTTGGCAAATGTCATTGAGGAGCCTTTGGCCATTAGTTTTGAAAAGCCGTGGAGATCGGGAGCGATCCCAAATGATTGGAAAAAGGCAAATGTAGTGCCCATCTTCCAAAAAGGGAAGAAGGATGATCCAGGGAACTACAGGCCGGTCAGTCTTACCTCGGTCCCTGGAAAAATCATGGAAGGGCTCCTTAAGGAATCCATTTTGAGGCACTTGGAAGAGGGGAAAGTGATCAAGAATAGTCAGCATGGATTCACAAAGGGCAAGTCGTGCCTGACCAATCTGATTAGCTTCTATGATGAGGTAACTGGCTCTGTAGACATGGGGAAGTCAGTGGATGTGATATACCTTGATTTGGTCTCCCACAATATTCTTGCCAGCAAGTTAAGGGAATGTGGATTGGATAAATGGATGGTAAGGTGGATAGAAAACTGGCTAGAATGTCGGGCCTAGCGGGTTGTGATCAACGGCTCGATGTCAGGATGGCGGTCGATTTCTGGCGGAGTGCCCCAAGGTTCGGTTCTAGGACCAGTTTTGTGCAATATCTTTATTAATGACCTGGATGAGGATTGCACCCTCATCAGGTTTGCAGATGACACTAAACTAGGGGGAGAGGTAGATACACTCGAGAGTAGAGATAGGGTCCAGAGTGACTTAGACAAATTGGAGGATTGGGCCCCAAGAAATCAGATGAGGTTCAACAAGGACAAGTGCACAGTCCTGCACTTGGGACGGAAGAATCCCAGGCATTGTTAAAGGCTGGGGACCAACCAGCTAAGCAGTAGTTCTGCAGAAAAGGACCTCGGGGTTACAGTGGATCAGAAGCTGGATATGAGTCATCAGTGTGCCCTTGTAGCCAAGAAGGCTAATGGCATATTAGGGTGCATTAGGAGGGGCGTTGCCAGCAGATCCAGAGACGTGATTACTCCCCTTTATTCAGCTCTTGTGAGGCCACATCTGGAGTATTGTGTCCAGTTCTGGGCCCCCCACTACAAAAAGGATGTGGACACATTGGAGAGGGTCCAGCGGAGGACAACAAAAATGATTAGGGGTCTCGAGCATGTGACCCACGAGGAGAGGCTGAGGAAGGATGGGTCTGTATAGTATGCAGAAGCGAAGAGTGAGGGGGGATTTGATAGCAGCCTTCAACTTCCTGAAGGGAGGCTCCAAAGAGGCTGGGGAAAGGCCATTCTCAGTAGCGGCGGATAGGAGAACAAGGAGCCATGGTCTCAAGTTGTGGTGGGAGAAGGCCAGGTTGGATATTAGGAAAAACTATTTCACTAGGAGGGTGATGAAGCACTGGAACGGGTTCCCTAGGGAGGTGGTGGAATCTCCATCCCTAGAGGTGTTTAAGTCTCAGCTTGACAAAGCCCTGGCTGGGTTGATTTAGTTGGAATTGGTCCTGCCTAGGGCAGGGGGCTGGACTTGATGACCTTCTGAGGTCTCTTCCAGCTCTATGGTTCTATGATTCTATCATCTCAGTCATTTCCAGGAATAGCTTCCAATGTTCCCTCAATTTTTTCCCCCCATTCACATGTAGAATAAATTTTGTTATGTGCACCAAAGCCTATGCAGATGTGCACCAACCATAGACATACAAACTAAGTTGTGGGGGTTGCTAATCAGGTGGGCAGCATTGGAATCCCTTCTGAGTGGCTGCACAAGCACCCAGCTTACAGGCAGCCCTGGTCACATCTCCCATTCTCCCAGCCCTGCCCAGCCCTCTGCAAACCATTCATAGCTTCAGCCTGTCTTGCACTGGCCCATCGCTTGCAGCAGCCTGCTGGGGCGACACTCATTTATATCATTGACCCTTCAGCCCATTCTGGCCGTGAAAAGGGGCCTTCAAGAGGTGTAAAGTGGGCCCACTGCCAGGCAGCATCTAGACTTGGAGCCTGGTCACTTAGCTCAAAATAGCAGCGTGGATGTTCCTACTGGGGCTGGAGCCCACACGGTGTCGTCTGGCCGCAGGAGTGGGTCTTGGGGCCGGAACTTCAGCCCACACAGGAACATCTCCACTGCTCCTTTGAGCACCATAGCTGGGCCCATTTGGCTGAGCCGGGCTCTGAGACTCCCCGCCAGGTGGTTGGTTTCCCCCCGGCGCAGACGTCCCCTGTGCCAATCGGAATCCACCCCCCAGAGTCTTTCATTCTCATTTGTTTCTTTGCA